TTTAGTAATGTTATTATACTTCAATTGCATATTTTTATATTTATCTATACCCTCATATCGAATCCTGCGCATCGAGTGTTTCACACTTTCTTGCGCCAGCCACAGGTTGACAGCTCACCAACCCGCTCATTTCGAGATTGAAAGCCGGTGAGAAATGTTGCGTTTCCAGTGTTGTGTTGATTCTGGGTTCTTTTTTAAGACCTTTACAGTGGCATCGAAGAATAATTCGACTTCAGTAACCATCCCAGTTTTATATCTGAGCCCATCAAGAGCTCCAAAGGACGAAAAAGGTGATTAAAATCGAAGCAATCCCAACAGTACAAAGAAACGAAAGTTTCACGTTTCCGGATATAAAGGTATTTGGTTTATTATTTTACGGTGTGAATGCAGCTCTGTCTTGCCGTACATACCGTGGTGGAGAGAATGTGTCCTGGGGGTGTTGGGGGGCTTGCCCCCCATCAACCCTCCCCTCGGGCAGTGCCCGAAGGGCACGCCTAGTCACGGCAATTTATATTGATATATTAGGTTGGTTGGTTTATTGGTCAATACGTTTTTGGGGGTTGGAACGTGTGAATTCCCGTAGATTTTTTGCCGAAATGTGGGTTGGGTTCCCGTAGAGTTTTTTATTTATTTCGCGTCAGTCCGTAAACTTTCAAAGATGGCGGTTACATCCGTAGAGTTTCATTGGCCGATTTTAAGCGCTTTTTGTGCTAGTTTTACGCATTTTTGATCGTTATTCTTCTTATTTAAGCTTGTTTTACCCCATAATTTCCCTGATATACTTCATGCCCTCCCCTGCTAACGGGACTATCAAATCAAGATCGTCGATGGAGAAATGGTACTCGATCTCCTGAACGATTCATTCGCAAAAGAAACAACGCCGAAAATCGATGAAATCATAGGATTTCATGCAGAAAAACATCATTTTTTTTCGACTTAGTCTCTGCGAGGGTGCGTCGCGGTCTTCAACAATTACCGAAAAAAGAAATCAGTGGATCTAGATTGAATTGCGCTGTCTCAAAAAGGAAGACAGAATTAATTTTCTGTAGTGTCCAGGACCTTTTTTTTTTTTTTTTTTTTTCCCCCCCCCCAATTTAATATCTGATGTAAAAAAAATAATCACCATGAAGTTGGCATCTGCATCCATTATAGAGAGATTAAGATTGAAGTACATTTGTCAGTTAAATGAGCTATGGCAGTTTTTGACATTAATGGAAATTGTATATGTATATATTTTTGAATATTTATTAATTCTAAAGTTCTGTAATGTTACTGAAATAGTGAAACTTAACTATACAAATTATGAACATTGTTGTTAATCAAATTAGATGATTTGGAAGCAGGTTATGACTGTTTCCAATCATCATCATTGAACCTTTCTGTACAGCACTGTAGCCAATGTAGTTGATAGCCAACATTTTCAAACATTTGCAGCTGCACTTTGTAATGTGCCTGTGTTGAATTACCTTTCTGGATCTAGTGGCTTCATTTCTTATGATTAAAAGCTAGAGAATAGTTTATAATGTTATTGTTTGAACATGAAACTAGGTTTGGGTTTTTTAATGTACATTTTCTTGTAGAATGACAAGCAAGATTTTGCAACTTTGCCCAAAAAAAATCAATAACCATTAGGTTGGGATATAGAATTCAGGTGTTTAGGCTTGAGCCTTTGCACTTCGTAGCCTATGGATGATGTGGGGTTTCACATCATGGGCGACTCAGGCAGGGTTTGGTTTACCCCTAAGAAATCCTCTAAATATTGTTTCCTGTTATGCAAGAATTTTTTTTTCCATTACAGCCGTGTTGTTAGGAAAGTCCATTCACCGTGTTCACACCATCATTGGACAGAAGACAAGGAGAATCTTAGGAAGTTCTACAAGGTTAGTTGCATTTTTGTAAAGAGTACGCATAAATGTGAGTATAAAAATTATTCAAAGAAATTACTATATAATTCTGGATATTAGAAAGTCAAGTACTATTGAGTTTTTATCAGCCACATAACCACTAGTTTTCATGACAATGTCCCTCCCACCTCATAAAATGGCCAAGGTCTTCATCTTTCAACAAGTTCCAATTGTCAAGCTTGGTTTTGGTAAAAATTTATCGACCTACCTTGCCAAGTTCTACAGATTTTACAAATTGAAATTCAGAAGTGTTTCTGCAAAATTTAGTTCAATTTTAGGAGTATATTGTTATTTGAGATGTAACATGCTTATGGTTTTATTACCATGAATGGTTATCATGTTAGCATTTGTGTACACGCTGTAGTTATGTATGGTGTGTATACACCATTGTTAGCCATTGTGTTTTGTATGATGCTGACGTTTGTTATTTATCTTCTTTCCAGGGAAAGAAGTACAAGCCTCTTGACCTCCGCCCAAAGAAGACCCGTGCCATCCGTCGTTCCCTTACCAAGTCTGAGAGCGCCATTATTAGCCCAAAGGAGGCTAAGCGCAGATGGAACTTCCCCCAGAGGAAATATGCTGTCAAGGCATAAGTAAATAAATGATGAGAGGTAATTTCTTCTTTATTTTTACCCTTCGCAATATTTTTGAGTTTGAAGGAAATAAAATGGCCATACACCCTACAGAGAATGAGAGGATGACCATCAAAGTACTTTCCTAGAAATAATCAAAGGTTTTAGGTCCTAGAAATGTCTTTTAAAGTTTGACCTTCACCAATGAAAGGTACCACATGGACATCAACAAATTCATCAGTGATGTTCATATGTAAAATGGAAAGTGAATATTCATGAACCCTGCCTCCTCGCAGTTCCATGCAAATCCAAGTAAAACTGGCTGATATGATAATCAAAATTACACTATTTGGATACTTTCACACAAATTTTGTTGGCTTGCCTTTTGGTGGTGATTACCTTAATATGTACATCTTGCCTTGTATGTATCTCTGCCACTCAAGACCGTAGTCTCCCCTAGAACACTAGGAGGCATAAAGTGTCTGTATATCTATATATTTATATGTATCACTTATTTATATAATATGAAGGCTCACTATTATGCCAATCTGATTAACAATACCCCTTACTCTATGGCCAGGACAATTTGGAGGTTTGCTGCTTTGTCCATGACTATTCTAGCATTGCCATAGCTATGAAAACTTTGCAATTTGCTTTAGTCCATAATTGCAAATTGCAGTTCTTCCAAATTAGCCATAAGGCAAAACTTGTAAGGAATTTCATGATGCTTTCCCAGATTTTTTTTTTTTTTTAGAATTTCATCTTTATTTTACACAATGTCCATAACATACCTAGTGAGTGCTCCACTCCAGATAAGAGACTGGCAAATAGAAATTTAAGGTTAAATTAAGCTGGAATTGTTGCCAATTGTTGCTCCCAAATTGGATCCTCGTAATCCTTTCCTCAAATAAGTATCTGTATAATCATGGAAGGCTCTAGTTTTTCATGGCTCGGCTACTAATAATTAGTGATATCTCGTCTCAGCCATGTTAGTCCTGCAGTTGAGAGTCTGAATTGCATACAAAATACAAGTAAAAAGGCATTAAACATGTATAGTTAAGTTTACATGAAAGATGAAGTATTGGAATGTGGTCATTATATTTATTTTTGAAAGGGTTGGTGTTGCATAATCATGAAAGATACTAGAATTTCTAAGATTAAACATTTCTCTAAAATCTTATGTATATTGATTGATCACTTCATTTTCACACACATTTTTACGTAATGCAAGATTGTATGTAGTGATATACAAGCCCCAAAGCCAACCGTAGCATACATTCTCCCTCCCTCAGAACACTGGTTCTGGCTTACTCCCCCACCCCCCAAAAAGAAAAAATATACATTCCTCAAGCATGGGGGTTCCTTATAAAGAATACCATAAAATGTACTGCACACATGTAATATGACGTGAATCACCCATGCCCTTTAGCCATATCCATCAGCCGTGACATGAATAACATGTCACTTGGACCGTCACTAAGTCAGCCATGTTAACCATAGTCTGAGGTAATATAGAAACTTTTCTATCTTATTTCATGTCAAAGAGGAGGAGAACCCTTTCAGTTAACTGTCATGGAAACTGGTTCTGGCCTTTCCCCCCCCCCCCCCATAAAAAAAAAAAAAAAAAAAAAAAAATATATACATATATAATAATCCGAAGGCTTATGCTGTATTATGTGAATCTGAAATCCTTTGAATCAAACATTAAGTGACCACAAACAGGGAACCAAATTTGAGAACTTTACTGCTGGAGCTAATTTCAAACCAGCAGCCCAGCCTTACTGGAAATACAATGACCTAGGTGAAGCAAAGCTATATTCTCAAATAATAGTCCAGAATAATTGTGCATTTTTTAATCAAGTACTAATGTAATTTACACTAAAATTTGCAACATAGTCATTGGGTTTAATAAATGGTATATACAAAATATATGTATTGATATAAACATCCTATTTATACAATTGCCAAAGAAATAATTAACATGCAATCTGTATGCTGATCACTCAATCAGCATACCAGCTACAAAACAATAATTCAATGTATGCAATTTTGATTGTATATATTCATTTAAAAGATAAAGAAAACCAGATACAGCATTCACACTAATAATTCAAAATATTTAGCTAAATATTAAAAGCAATTGGAATGTTGAAGAAATTCACGATAAGAACAAAGAAACAACTTTCCTTTTTATTGCCTTTTAAATTCATTTATTTTGACAAATGGTTATCACTGTATACCAAGGCAGTTTGAAAGCACACTTCCAATACAGTGCTGTGGAAGGAACAATACTACATCTGACTGGCCCTGCTGCTGCCACTAGGGTTAGTATGTCACAACTGAAATCAAGGAAAGAAATTTCATTACTATTGCTTTTGGGTACACATTTGATAATTAAGGTTCTAAGAATTATTACTGAAGTATTTATATTTAAATTTCAAACCTCATAATAGGATTCAAATTCTAAGTAGATGAGTTGCTTGTCTTTATAAATAAATACATATGGAAATGTTATTTCCCTTTCCTTAGTTTTTGAGGACTTTTGAGAACATACCTTTAACTTGAATTTCACTGGGTGCATCAATATTATTATTTGCATGGCCATTTGTGAGCTGCTGCTGCTGCCTGGGGTCATGGTTACCATTCACCATCAGTTTCTCCATGCCATTTGTTACTATGTTCTGATTAAAAAGAGAAAAATTATAGTCTTGTGGACTGTTTAAAAGTGTATGGAAAACTTTGTACATTTATTTACACTAAAAACTACCCTCAAAATCTTTGGTAATGTTACCTCTGCTGCTTCCATCTCTGTCATGATGGCATCCAGTTTTTCAACAAGCTCTTTAGCATCTTCCATTCCAAAGACCATTGGGCTTTTGAACTTCAGAACATTTCTGTAAGGGCCATCATTGCTCAGCAGCACGTATTGCTCCTTTAATCTGCAAGATAGTTTCATTATTTGATCTTCATGTACCTGTATCTCTAGTCACTTGTACATACTTTGTATGGTCACTTTTATTTAAGATTAAATAAAACAGCTGGACAAGCAGTTTGATGCACATATATAATTCATTCCTGGTAATAAGATTCATACAAAGTGAAATGTCCAACCATTACCAAACAAGCACCCCTCTGCTTATATAATGGCAGCAAAATTTTACACACTATCCTCATGATGCTCTGTAGAGTCGATATACAAAAAATTCTCAAGATCTCTTGCGTTATCAATGTAAGATGCTGTATAAGGAAGATATATGAAGAAATATAAAATGACTTGTATTGACAAGGACCCAGTACTATACCAATATGATAAGGCTTCACTCTCGAGATTGTTCATCTAGTAACTACACAAGCTCCATAAGAATAGCATAAAATTTACTAAACAACTAACTGCTTTTATAGATGCTCACTCTCAGTGTTATGTTGAGCAGTAGAGGTTCTAAGTATTGTCAAGAATGATAGTTATGCATCTGTATCCATACATTAATGCATTATTATTCCTTGCAAAAGAAATAACTTTCTCATTTTGTGTGTAATTAGCAGGGTCGAGAAAATGCATATATCTAGACAACTCAAAATGTAAGGAAATGTAACTTTGTCTGCATATTATTATAATTTGAGAAGAACAATATGGTGGAAATCCATGGGCACAGTATTCCCCTGTATAGTTGTCAAGCCCTTACTCCTCAAGAGGACCAGAGGGGAGGACTGTTTCTCCCCTTATTTCACACCTTCATTTGGAACACTATGGCTTACCCCTTTAGTAACTAGCCCCACATTTAAATTCTCCGCATTCCCTGACTCCAGGCTCTCCTTTGAACACTACTGAGACTACCCCTTCCTCAATGGCTACTATCACCTCAGTCTAGCCCAAATCATCCACCCACATTATTATTCAACCTCAAGAAAATATTCCTCTCTCGCCACCATCCACTAATTCACCTCCCCCCATCCTCAGCTTTCATCTACTACCCTCCTCCCTTATTACTACTTTGCAGTCTTGTTCACCTCTCTGTCAACAACACTCCCTCTTTCACATGTCCATCCCTTCTACTATCCCCACTTCTACAAATCTTTTGAATAATCTGTTAAGCCCAGCCAAATGGGATCAACATTTTGTGAACCCCACTACAGCCCTTCCTCTGACATTCTCCTATTCCAGCAATGTCTCCAAACATAAGTAGGCAAAGTTTTCCTTCACAGCAGCCTCAATCATTCCACCATGTCACATTTACATCCAAATCCCAATCTAAATCATTATCAAACCTAACTGGCATCATTGGCAAACCCATTCTTGCCTAGTCTCATCCCTCCCACAATATTTGTATCTCCCCCAATCAAACTGTCCAGTCTATGACAAGGATTGGTCACATTGTGGAGACCTAATTGTCTTAGAACAATTTCTAAAAAATTAATTTTTTATTAAATTTTTATTTAATTAAATGAGTGAATGACTAATTTCAAGCGTCTGCTTTCTTCATGTGTGTGCAAACGGATACAAAAGATAATATCGAGAGAGAGAGAGAGAGAGAAGAGAGAGAGAGAGAGAGAGAGAAGAGAGAAGAGAGAGAGAGAGAGAGAGGAGAGAGAGAGAGAGAGAGAGAGAGAGAGAGAGAGAGAGAAAGAGAGAGAGAGAGAAAGAGAGAGAGAGGAGAGGAGAGAGAAGAGAGAGAGAGAGAGAGAGAGAGAGAGAAGAGGAGAGAGAAGAGAGAGAGAGAGGAGAAAGACAGAGAGAGAGAATGAGTCATCGACCATAGAAAACGGAGGAAGAGGCGGAGGCTGACCTCTGCAATATTTTCCCGCCGAAAGCAATCTATTTCACCGAGGTACATGGGGACACTTCCTCTAAAATCTGCCCCTTAGACTATGATGTAATATCAGTACGCTGCTAACACCATTCCCCCTGTAGGCTAGCATATGTCCTCCACCAGTATAACCAAGATTAACTTTCCCTAGACATGAACTCCCCCAATAATCCTACCTTTTGTTAATGAAAGCAGCCTCAGCAGTGGCAGGTTCCCGTGTCTCTCTGTTTTTTACCAAATCCACCCCCAAGAACATTCCTTCGCCTCGTACATCACCTGGAAACCATAAATTTGGTATGAGGGATTTTGACACACTTCATTTTTCTGTTAGAATTCAGCATAAACATAAAATAAAATATTACCAATAATGGCATGTTTTCTTTAAGCCGGTTAAATTCTATGCTTTAGGAAGTTTCCAATTTTTGTAGCATTATCCAATAGATTTTCTTTCTCAATGGCATCGAGAACAGCATTTGCAATAGCGGCGGACACAGGATTGCCACCGGAACGTGTGTGAAGTATTGCCATTCCTGTAGCTCCAAAGCTTTCAGCAATTTCCCTGCAAAATAGTTTTGTTAGTATCATCAATATACAAAATTATATACTAATACTGATATTAAGAGCACAATTTGACAAGATTTTTAGAGAATGAAATAATTTGACAAGATTTTAGAGAATGAAATGAATGGTGGATTAAAGCTTACTGGAAAGATGAAAATCAATTTGACATATATGATATACATAAACAAAATAATATACGCTATGGAAGTAGCCAAATGTATACTGCTCTTCACAGAGCTATTTACAGAATGGGAGATGGAATTGTGTGAGGAGTGCTATATGAGATAAAGCAGCTATCAAAAATGGATTATAAAAACTGTAAAACTTAAAAAAGAAGAGTACTCATAAGATATGAAAAAAGTCCTTTGTATATTTAAACTAAATTGTAGGATTAACTTGTTGTAATGACAGCTGACACAGATGGCCATTCCCCATAGGCTTTCCAAGGGTTACAATGTCTGGAACTATGTCATCTCCCTGTGTCTGGAAGGCCCACATGTGAGAACCAACTCTTCCAAACCCAACCTGGACCTCATCTGCCAAACACACACCACCTGCTGCTCTCACATGGCTGAAATAAACAAATAAGTCTGGCTACATCGACATTTCTTAGCAAAATCACATAATTGTGATTTTATTAATCTTTTTATTTATTTATTCATTTAGTTGACTGATTGATTTATTTACTTATTTAATCATTTAGTTATTTGCTTGTTTATTTACTTATTAATGCTTTAGAAAACCTGTGCTTTCTATGAGAACCATTATCAACTGTCAGATATATTTTTAGTAATTGCAATTTACCTGTAAACCTGACGCAGGTAACCAGGTGGATAAACAATCTGTCCACCACAGCTCTGCATAGATTCTGCGAAAAAGATGCTTACTCCACCGTGGAGTTTGGTAGCCTTGTCACACAGCTGTTTCACTTCATCTGCATACTTTTTTGTACACTCTTCTACTGTGAAGTCTTTGTCTGTGTACTTTCCTCGATACACATCAGGAACTGGAGCCTGTGAAAATATACAAACAAGTAGCAGAAATTTATAAATATGCTCATATAAATATTCGATGTGATATTTGTTAATAACTGACTCTTAAGGATATTAACTCTTCCTTCTAAAAACACCCATAATATGTTGCTGTGGATAATACTCACAACATGGACCCAGTCACGCTGGCCTTCTCCCCCAGGATGGTTGAATTTGTATGGAGAAATGTCAATAAGGGATGTGACATGCCCATGGTATGCACTGAAAAAATATAAATACATAAAACAAAAGCTCTGAGGTTACTGTTAAAGCTGAAATTAAATTTGGAATTGCAAATACAATCTTAAAAAATCAGATTCACACTTCATTTACGCCACCATTGATAAAAAGACAATAAAGATGGGAAAAAAATCTTACTGATCTAGGGTTATCACATCCTTCTTTCCTGTGTGTGTTCTTGCCAGTCGTATTGCAAGGTCGTTGGCCTCACTTCCAGAATTGACGAAGAAGCAAACATTTAGCTTTTCGGGGAAAAGAGACGTCAATCTGTTAGGGTAAGACAAAAGTGAAAACGATATGAAGTGTGGAATTTGAACAATTCTTACTTAAATTACGTGATGTAAAACTAGAGGTTGATTATATTGTTATGCAATTCGAAATTATTATATAAGATACAGGAAAACATCACTAAGAATTACACTTGCATAACATAGAGCAAAATGACTACTTCGTTTTTCCTTCTAAATACTTGTTGCAGAAACAAAAAATGTAAATGTGGCTTATATTACATATCATTTGCGCATTGTTGTTCAAGACATACAGACGTATCTTATTTTAACAAAAAAAAAAAAAATCACAAACCTTTCCGCGTAGAGAACCAAATTATCATGAAGGAATCGACTATTTGTGTTCAGGACACTCATCTGCTCAACTGCGGCAGATACCACTTGTGGATGACAATGGCCAACTGTGGGGGAAATCCGTAGTGAAAATTATATACACCATAATCCAAATATTTCATCATCAAATGCGAGTCAAAAACATGCCGGAGCTTATATCCCTATAAAGAATATTAAGTTTTCACTATTTTATACTAGGTTCTTGACATTCTTTCAGCGTGCAATGTCACCAGCGTTAGAAGTGATCTAATACTTTATGTTTACTTACAAAACAATTATTGCAATAATGGTGTTCATGTTGATGCTCATTATTAAAGTAATAAGAATAGGTACATCTGTCATTTATTTCTTGTACCTTGTTATCATAATGAACGCACTGCAATAACAACACTGAAAACAGGAGCGCCAATAATAAAATCGGAAAATTCACACTACCCACCCTGCAGAGGAAACCGATAATATCTCCACAATCTGATAATACTCACCATGACAGACATTGTTGATGCAGTCCAAATACCTGCATCCTTTCTCATCGTACATGTAACACCCAGCTGCGCGCACGATCTTCAGCGGGTCCGATCGGAAAAATAGTTTGCACGAGGGTCTGAAATGTTCGAGAAAAATACAGTGAGGGGTTATATTATTTAAATGCAATTACGGAAGAAAATACTCAACTATATAGTTCGTTGGGGTTGCTGTGATTTTCAACTGTTGCGTAAATAGTACAAATGGTAATAAGTTGAGTGGATTGAATGAGTGAATGACTAATTTCAAGCGTCTGCTTTCTTCATGTGTGAAAACGGATACAAAAGATAATATCAATTATAAAAATACTTTCCTTTGAAAAACACTTTATTCTTCTAGTACCACTTTTCCGTTATTGTTCCTTGCTTTGCTTTGGTTTAGTCCATATTTTTCCGGCCATCGATTCTCTAAGGACGTGCCAACAGTTTTATCGATCCTCAATCATGAAATTCAAATGAAAGTAACAAGTCGTAATATAATATACATTGTGCAGTATATTCAAAACTCAAGTTCATACATGCGCATCACCATGGCAAGCTACGGATTTTTTATGCTTTGCTGCTGTGGTATGGAAGGTATGTATCCAGGGCGTGGTAGCAGTGTGGACGGAGAGTCTGTTTATAAGTTTGTTTATAAGTTTATCTAGGAATTGTAAAAACAGTAGGTCTACCCATAGTCCTTCTTGCCCATAGCTAGCTACAAACTTTCATAAACACGTACACACGCATACGGGTGGAATTCATGACGAACTAATTGCAACAGGAAAACGAAGGGAAGAACAAGAATACACACGAATATGCCGAAGGCGTTTTCGCTATTGCTTCGTCAGGGCCACACACGCACACAGACACACACAGACACACACACACACACACACAGACACACACACACACACACACACACACACACACACACACACACACACACACACACACACACACACACACACACTTACGAACTTCCACACACACACACACGCACTCACAGACACACACAGACACTCACACACACCACGCACACATCATGTTGAGTGCGGATGAATACACATTTGCGAGAATGTGTGAGAGTTTGTGACCATACATCAGGTATGTGAGCCTTTCAAAAAAGGACCCTTGTAGACCTCTTTAACCCTTTCGCTGCGGGTGTCACAGCGTCTGTGACAGAGCTCTGAGCTGCACGTGCTGCTGTCACAGCGTATGTGACACAACATATTTTTCTATTATATTTGACGTATTCATAGCCAAAAATCTACTTTTATAGTATGAGTATATTATAGTCTACATAAACAACTAACTTAATCCCACACAGATTCCTCATATACTGATATCTGCATCGGTTTCTCTAGCACTATCCTGACCCCTTTCCGACCCCAAGGCAGGTCATCGTCCTCTCCCTGAGTCCCAACGATTCCTGGGAGCCAGCGCCTGCCGCTCCCAGAATCCCTGGCTTTCTCTTGTTTGGCAGTTCTCAATTTGTGTGTGTGTGTGTGTGTGTGTGTGTGTGTGTGTGTGTGTGTGTGTGTGTGTGTGTGTGTGTGTGTGTGTGTGTGTGTGTGTGTTGTGTGTGTGTGTGTGTGCGCGCGCGCGCGCGTGTGTATCGTGCCTCGCCCACACATGCGACATGCACTGCATGTTCCTAGTTGATGAAACGCAAATATTTTCTCACGCCCTCTCTCTCTCTCTCTCTCTCTCTCTCTCTCTCTCTCTCTCTCTCTCTCTCTCTCTCTCTCTCTCTCTCTCTCTCTCTCTCTCTCTCTCTCTCTCTCCCTCTCTACCATTCTCTCTCCCTCTCTACCATTCTCTCTCCCTCTCTACCATTCTCTCTC